CGCGAAAAGGTATTAATATCAGGACAGATTTTTTAAGAAGTATGATATTCTATGCTGGCTCTAAGGTGTATGAAGGACCCTGTTTTTTTTAAAGGGACACTGAACGCTCTTAAATATTTGGAGGTGCCTGGATCGGACACGAATATCACAAAATAAAGTTTCTGCAAACTATTTCTTTAGCTCAATAATTGCGCTGCGAGACTCACCTTGAGTGAACAGAAATACCTATACCAAGAAATTAAATCCAAATTAAAGGTAAGTTTAGGTTCCGTTCCTGAATTATAACGTGCCTCGTGGCGTAAATGTTACGTTAAACACTGTTTTCGTTTTTGAGATAAAGAAGTGACCTGTGCATTTAACATCCTAGCTTCCTCGTATAAGCGGGAATAACTTGTTTCGCTCTGTGAAGCCAGCACACTTGACAGGCTCGGCAACCGCTATACAGTGTGACCGCATATAACGTATGTCGCAGGAGTCTCGAAAATCCGCACTATAGCAAAAAAACATTTACAACGAACTTCCAAGATGAGTTCGTTGTAAGGCGAGAGCTTCTCTTTCTTTCTCATCTCTTCACTTCCGCCTTGTAACAACGCGGTAAAAAGATTTTTTTTTTTTTCTTTTGTGGGGGTGGTGGGGGGGGGGCGGGAGCATGCGTGTAGTGTTTGTTCTTTTAGCTTACCTCTACATCTGAATCGCTTCTCTTCGTGGGCAAATGCTTTCGGATGAAAAGTTTTCTTTTTTCTTTTCTGTACGTTCGTGCAGAGTGTATTTTTTTAGCTTTGTTATGTTCTGAATCGCTTCTGTTCGCTCAATTTGGTTCGCAACTTGAGCTTATGGAATTTCCTTTCTTTCCTACTTCTTTTTTGGGGGAAGGGACAGGATAGAAGATGATGGTTTGCGCATTGTTCGGAGCCTTCCCAGGGGGAAAATGTTAGATATAGCCAATATGCCGTTCGTTATAAGACATACTTTTTACATGCATTTTTATTTGAATGTTCTGCGAGTTTGATATCGACAATAATTCGCTGTACGTGGGTTCGTTCTAGACGGGTTTCACTGTATAAGCGGTACCGCGCTATAACCAAAACATCAATTTTTCATGCCAAAATACATGCCATGAGGCAACTTACCTTTCCAAAACAATTTATTTTATATTAGATGAAAAATAAAGCTTAGTTTGAGGAAAGTCTTTATTTCACCTGACTAGTACACTTCCCTCTCAAGTGGGTCACACATTTTGAAAGAAATGAGTGACTTTTGCCTGGCGCAGCCTTTTAACGGCGCCGCGGGTTGCGGACGGACGTTGCAAGCGTTCAGGATTGCTAACCCTAATCACTTTTCTCCGGTGATAAAACGCGTGAAAATTCGCATCCTTCATATGGTACGCGTATGAAATGCTCCAATTAAGGCATAAAATGCACGCATGAAATGCTCCAAATAAGAAATCCGGGCGATGTTCGAAAACACAAATGCTTAGAAAGCACCACTGTAGTCGAAGTAAACAAACACGACGACATGGGCGTTTCTGCTGTCTTGAGAGTGCCGCCACGACTAGAGCACTATATAGCTCCTACGGAGCAGAGTAGCGCAATCCTTTGAACCCCGTGTTTTGCCGACAACATGGCCGACAGAGCGGCTCGGCGCGAGTCACGTGGTACTCAGGGTTCCAGGAGGCGGCCCGCCCTATGGGAGAATACATGGAGATCGACATAACACGGCTGATTAAAAAACTAACGGCGAGTTCACATTTTTCAAAACTAACCTGACGTGAAGTTAGTAAAGCGCTAAACACTTCATCAAAGTTTTAATAATATCGGATGCGTGTGCAAATTTTGAGAAGGCAATTTCCAAGGTAATGGCGTTTGAAGCAGACGATTTTTGCTCGCAGCGGAGATGGGCTTTTCGGGTTGGCCGGAGCGGGTCACGTGAATGGTGTGACGTCGCCGTGTCGTCTGCTGCATGATGCCGCTCAGGCAATTTTTAAAAAAAAGTTACGTCCTTGTATGGCACAAAACTTATCGCATATCATTCTAAAATGTTTCATTATTATGTCAAAAATAATTTCCATTCCGCACATCCCCACAAAACTGAAGAAACAACGATTTTCTCACGTTCTCCATGCATTTCTGACCGCGGTTGGAACCTCCGGGCGTTCGCCGCTAGTCGCCGAGAGACGGCGTTCTAGATTGCGCTACTCTGCTCCGAAGGAGCTATATAGTGCTCTAGCCACGACATTGCCGCACGAGTAGATGGATCTTCCTTTCTAGTACGTGCTGGGTTATCATAGCGACACACAACGAAAATTCACAGTCAAGGATAGCGCTTTTACACGGAACGGTGAGCTTCCACCACGCCGTCTACGTCGACGATCACCACCGACGCCATGTTTGCGGATAGAAGCCGGCCCGCGACCGGCATGCAATGCGCGCGAACACTTCTCCTCAACTTGCGATTGGTCTGTCGTTGCAATTGCGGTCGGTGCGTGCGTCCCTCCGTCGCTATGGCAACTGAAGCCTCTCTTCGCTTCTCCCCGCTTCTTCGAGCGACCTCCTTGCCATCCTTGCCCCTGCGAGTGCCGCTTGCGGCTAGCACTAGCGCCATTGTCTAGTGTCGCACAGGGAAGCGTGCTCGCTGCAACGGTCGGTCGGCGGGCTGTTCCAGAAACCGCACTATAACCGGTATTTCCCTTTGCGCACCTGCATTTAAAGCGGTATGTAATTACATGGAGTTCTATGGGAGGCGAACCGGTGGCTTAAAAAAGCCGCGTTATACCCGGTCCTGCACTATAAGCGGTTAAGTTGTAAGTGATCTACACTGTACCAGCACGCATAACCGACCCTCACTATAACCGCCATTTTTTGGAAAACGAGTGGCGCCACCTATAGACAGTTGGAGTTGTGAGTAGTGATCTATCAATTAGATTGACCAGCGTTAAAGGAGTCTACGAATTGGAGAATCTACCCATTGAAATTTCATAGAGTTTTAGCTATCATTTTCTGGGTAATCGAGAAATATCCAGAAATAGAGGAAGCAAGGAGAGCATGCTAAAATTTCCCACGCAGATCAACCTTTACCTCAGTTGGCTCGAAAAGTTTTGTTGCTCAAAATTTTTTGGTTGGGAATATTCTAAACCCATAGCTAGAGTTTCGAAAAATGAATGTCTACCTACCGTGAAATTGCGGTTGAACACACATGACAGAACGGTGGGAGCTACCTGCATGCCGTACCAACCAACTGCTTCCCTTTCATTCCCTCACCCCATTCTCTGCTTGTCGGTATGGTGGTAATGTGATCATGGGGTGAAAAGTAAGCGTATGAAGTGACCAACCAACGTGTAGCTTCCACCACACTGTTGGCTTAGGGGTGACAGACATGACAGACAGACATGACAGAACGGTGGGAGCTACCTGCATGCCGTACCAACCAACTGCTTCCCTTTCATTCCCTCACCCCATTCTCTGCTTGTCGGTATGGTGGTAATATGATCATGGGGTGAAAAGTAAGCGTATGAAGTGACCAACCAACGTGTAGCTTCCACCACACTGTTGGCTTAGGGGTGAACATAGTGGAGTGCTCAAGTGTCAAGGTGATAGGGTAGCTTCAAGGAACGGGAACAATAGGGGAGAACAGATACACGGCTTCTGCGTTTCTCAACGGGGTTACTAAGTGGCCGCTGAACTAATCTTTTCTAATTCTAAAAAGCGAGGGGAAAAAAAGGGGGTTATCTATTTCTTTCTTGCTGCATTAGACACAATGAGAAGAAAACAACGGTTGGCGAGGGTATGCTCCGTCCTTTCTCCATGTTGGTCGGTCTTTAAGTTTCATTTTAGCAGATGTAAGCCTTCCATTGATGCATGACTATGAGCTAAACAGTTCCTACTGTGTGCATTCTAGAGCGCAGCTCTCAGGCGCCCGTTTCCGGCTTGAGCGGCGTCACCGTTGGCGTAATTGCGCGGTGCGTTATGGGTAAATTTTCCCGCTAAATTTAGGGCAAAATTTTCCCCTCTTAATTTAGCGGAAAATTTTCCCCGCTAAATTTGGTGGAAAATATTTCCCCGCTAAATTTAGCGGAAAAATTTCCCCGCTAAATTTAGCGGAAAAATTTCCCCGATTTCCCCGCCAAATCTAGTGGAAAATTTTCCCCGTTAAATTTAGCGGGAAAAAATTGCCCGCTAAATTTAGGTCGCGTGACACCTCCCCTCCCCCCTCCCCCCCCCCCCCCCCCCTCCCTGAGGTCACGTGACCTCAGGAAGTCACCTATCCCCCTGTACCCTTCCATCCTCCTCCTCAAGAGCTGCGCTCTAATCCAGCGTTACAGGGAATTGTAAACGACTTTCATTTTTTTCGACGCAAGACTTTTGTTTAAAAGGCATCTAGGCTGCTGTACTGATTTATCGCATCACTCCTAAGAACCAGAGGGGTTACCGTTCCTATAAGAAGAGAAATAAAGCTTTCTCAAGAGATTGGGACCCCCGCTCTTACGTCTACAAAGAAAACCCCAGCTCATTGTTTTTCTTTTGTTGGGAGCATAGCAGCTGGAATGTATCCCATCTGATATTGCATGAATCAAATGGGATGGGGAACGCTTTAAAATTTGAACCCTTCGGATATTTAGCCAGAAACGCATGATGGGTGATATCTCGGAGGATCATGCTCATAGTATATAGGCTTCTATGGGATATTCTATTAATCAATAGTTCACAGGTGCAAACATCTTTGGGAAATAAATTACTGAAAAATTATCACTTCCTGTATTATCAAAGGCCCTCAAATGCTTTACTGGCATTGATTTTATTCCAGACCAGACTTTTTTTTTTATCTATGGTTCAATAAGAAATCTGTCCAGGGTTCTAACACGACACGGGTCAAACTTTGTTTTCCATTGCAGTTAATTTGGGACCATTTCAACCCGTTCAAGTTCCTAATTGTTCGTTCAGAGTTTACTTGAGGTATTCGAAATTTAGGCAACTGCCCTATAAGGAATATGTAACTTTTCCCCTAGTTTTTTTTTTTAATTCGCAAAAATTGAACTTACTTTTTTTGTGTTCCCAACAGATCCGGTTGATGTGGAAGAGGAGAACTCTGACTGTGGAGGAAGCAGCGGTTTGTCCTCTTCCAAAAAACCATTGTACCGGGAATGTCTAGACGAACAGGTGGATGCAGAACATAACCGCTCTTTTGGCACTTACTGCAGTGTCTTCACAAGCAAGATCAGCATGTTCGAAGGGACACAGACGGGGGAAGCGTCTAGGAAGGAGCGTCGCTCGACTGCTTGTGAAAGGGTTCACACAGATGAAAGGCCTTTTAAATGTCTTGAGTGCCCTAAGGCGTTTCGGACTAAGCCTTCCTTGAGGGTTCACGAGAAATCTCATTGTGATGAAAGGCCATTTAAATGCCCCTACTGTCCTAAAGCATTTCAAACGAAGCCATGGTTGACTGAGCACAAGATATCTCACAGTGATAAAAGGCCATTTAAATGCCCCAGCTGCCCTAAAGCATTTAAAATAAAGTCAAGCTTGACTATGCACAAACGATTTCACAGTGATGAAAGGCCATTTAAATGCCCCAGCTGCTCTAAGGCATTTAAAATCAAGTCGCACTTGACAACTCATTTGGTATCTCACAGTGATGAGAGGCCCTTTAAATGCGCCACTTGCCCCAAAGCCTTCCGGACAAGGCCAGACTTGAGGGTTCATGAGAGCTCTCATAGTGATGATGGGCCATTTAAATGCCCCTACTGTCCTAAAGGATTTCAAATAAAGTCCAGATTGATAGGCCACAAGCTGTCTCACAGTAATAAAAGGCCATTTAAATGCCCCAGCTGCCCTAAAGCATTTCAAACAAAGTCAAGCTTGACTGTGCACATGATATCTCACGGTGATAAAAGGCCATATAAATGCCCCAGTTGCCCTAAAGCATTTAAAATTAAGTCGTCCTTGACGACTCACAAGGTATCTCACAGCGATGAAAGGCCGTTTAAATGCCCCAGCTGCCCTAAAGCATTTCAGAGAAAGTCATGTTTGATGGAGCACAAGATATCTCACAGCGATGGTAGGCCGTTTAAGTGCCCTAGCTGCCCTAAAGCATTTAAAAGAAAGTCACACTTAACGACTCACAAAATATCTCACAGTGATGAAAGGCCCTTTAAATGCCCCACGTGCCCTAAATCATTTCGGACAAAGCCTCACTTGAGGGTTCACGAGAGCTGTCACAGTGATGAAAGGCCGTTTAAATGTCCTCACTGTCCTAAAGCATTTCAAATGATGTCTCGCTTGACGGAGCACAAGATCTCTCACAGTGATAAAAGGCCGTTTAAATGCCCCAGCTGCCCTAAAGCATTTCAAACAAAGTCAAGCTTGACTGTGCACAAGATATCTCACAGTGACAGAAGACCATTTAAATGCCCCAGCTGCCCTAAAGCATTTAAAATGAAGTCATCCTTGACGACTCACACAATATCTCACAGTGATGAAAGGCCGTTTAAATGCCCTAGCTGCCCTAAAGCATTTAAAATAAAGTCACGCTTGATGGCTCACGAGATATCTCACAGTGATGAAAGGCCATTTAAATGCCCCAGCTGCCCTAAAGCATTTAAAATCAAGTCACGCTTGACAACTCACAAGTTATATCACAGTGGTGAAAGGCCGTTTAAGTGCCTCTCCTGCCAAAATTCGTACTGTTGCAACTTTTCCTTGATTGTTGACGAGAGATTTCACTACAGAGGTGGAGGGACTTTCAGATGTGAAACCTGCGACAGAGCATTTGCAGAGAAGCGGCAGTTAACCTAACATTAGCTAATTCATGCAGGCCCAGAGCTTTTCGCGTGTTCCACCTCTTCGAAAGAGTTCCCTTTTCGGTCTAAGTTGAACATTGGCAAACTTGTTCGCGTGCCTGTGGCTTATAAACGCCCCACCCCCTGCTCGAAATCATTCCGTATGAAGTTTTACTTGGAACGTTCATGAAAAGCTTCACAAAAATTAAACAACTTGTCTAAATTATATTTGTCAAAAGTCTAGCTTGTAGTCACAAAACAATTAATGAATGCAAGGAACCAGCAGATGTGACACCTGTAACAAAGTGTTTGAACAGGAAAATCTAAATTCGACACCTACCCAAAAGAGTTCAGAGTAAAATCGAGCTTGAGTCTTCACAAATGCAAGATGCCATACAAATGCGAAACCCTTGACGCAGTGTTTGTACAGAAATATAAATATGTAGGTTGTCAACAGAGTGACTTGGTCAGAAATCAATTTGTATGCCAAACCTCCTCAGAAGCACTGTGCAGGGAGTCGCATTTGAGTGCTCATGAAAAGATTCACCGGGATGATCTGGCCACCAGACTTGGACCTCATGCTATCGCAGTCACTGAACAAGAGCACCTAAATGCTCACCAGGCTGTTCACAAGAAAGTCTATCCAAATGTCCCATCCAGCCAAAAGTGTTTAAAATGAACTTACCTCTTCATTTCAAGCTTTCTTTTCAGTTGAAGCTTTGCTTGAACAATCTACAAATGTAGCACTTGTACCGTGGCATTCAACAATGAGCAACACTTGAATGCGGTTCACACAGGATGAATGACCTTGAGTGTGTCACCTGCTGATGAGTTTCACAGAATGTCTTCCTAGCATTCTTGTAAATGTTGTCACAAGCAGAACACTTGACTATTGTGAGTTTTAGGCTATGTGTTTGATACCTGTGAACTAGGATTCAGATGAAGTAGGAGCTTAGAAGGGCATGTCTTGTGTATAAATGCTATAAAAACACATGCCCACTCTCGAGGTGCGCGAGAGGCTAAAGCCCTGTCGAAAGTAAGCTCATGCTGCCGGCGGGACAACTGAAGCTGCTGCGTGCTATTCTCACCTTTCTAGTGACTATTGTGTGTTTTTGTTAAAAACAATAAGGTTTAGTAGTACTTTATGATTAAGCATTAGTATTTACAAGAACTGACCTATCATCTTGCTATTTTTGTATATAAACAAAAGAGGATGGCTGTACATTCCTCTCACATGGCTACTTATTGATAAAAAGAAATGTCTGTCAGAGATGAGGTGTTTGTTCTGACATGATTTTGAGTGAAGAGTTGTTAGATCTTAATATAGAAAGGAAGAACTGGAACATTCTTCAGATAACATTCACATACTATCATGCTATACTTTGGTTTACCACACTATTTTATTTGCAGCACCTTTCTGTATCAAAGAGGCTGCATTTTGGTTTTAAAGTAAGGAACCCTGCTTTTTTAATTATATCCGACGCGAGCCAAGGCATTACATTTAAGGCCGCACCTGCTGTGGAACCATTCTGAGACAACTTGACTGTGTTCAAGTGCTCCCATTATATCACTCCTAAAACTTGGAACTCCCTAGGTATCCAGATTAGAGACTAGGCTAAGAGTTTTGTATTTCTTTTTTTGAACAGCATGTATTAGCAGTTGTGACCTGTTTGGCGCTTCATAGTTTACTTGGAATCCTTGAATACTTTAAAACAAGCTGGGGAAGTTATGATTTTTAGAATCTAGACTTTGTTATGTTGTATGTTTGTGTTAATTGAATAAATAAATGCTCTTTCCTTTGTTTCTTCCTACTGATGTCTGCCTAAAAAAAAATCATATCAGGTGTTTCCGCAAGTACTGTGAACCCTCGTTATAATGAAATTGTATGGCTAGGGTTCTATAGATTTTTCGTGCGCAGCGGCAAAAAACTCTACGCTCGCACCGCCGCACGCCTTCCCCGTATAAAAGATTCAAAGTAAATAACCAAAATAAAGCGTTGATGAACGCACGTGCAAGATGCCATTTGTTTTATGCTTTAGAATAGTTACTGCTGCAGACGCCAGCACGTGGAACACCATTCCCAGCATTCTCCTTGATGCTTGGGTAATTTAGCAGTAGGTCTGTTCAGTAGATTACAAAGTTATCATTGGGCACCATTTTCAAGCTCAGTAGACCTGCAGGTAGGTAATAGAGGTTTCTCAAAGATTTGCCGCTGTGAGACCCACGTCTGTGATGTCTACGCTCACACTGCCCTCTCTTTGTCGTCGTCCCAGATGCTTGCGTGCCTAGTTTCCTTCCGCTCTCCCGGGGTGGCAGTCCCATTGCGCGTTTCTACTTGCCGCCAGGTGGCGGCCCAGTCGCACGTGTCTAGTTTCCTCCGGCTCCTTGGAGCGGGTCTGTGCTGTGTGCTGAACAGCTTCGCTCGTCAGCCACCTTCACAAAGTGTAATGGCTTATGATTTTTTAAATTATTGCTTTTATCGAAGTCAGCGTGGTTTTGACTGAAATGCACGCATTTTTAACTGGATTTAAAGTGTACCGGCGGCCGGCCACGCTTTTTACGAAGGCCGAGGTGCCGAAAGCATGCAAGCCTACACTGAGGCGCACGGAAACCCCTCCACTGGGGCAAACGGCAAACAAGAAAATGGAGCGAACAGGTTATGGAGGGTAGAGCGCGCAGAGTGTAGCTTCCAATGCTGACGCGGGCAGGGCAGGGGGAGCAATGTCCACATTCTGACACTGCTTAAGGCACCCGCAACTGACGCTGCCCAACTCTTGTCGGAATCTGCTCAAGGGAGCGAAGGAGCCTAGAGGAGATTATCCCTTAAGGGGGCACGCTTGCGGTGTACGCACACATGTCACATGGGAGAGTGGGAGTGTTTACCCTAAGTCAAGTGGCCGGTTCAAGTCTGAAATCGCCAAAGAATTCGACATTCCAGCATCAACTGTTCACCGCTGCCCACCTTTTTGCAGAACAAGGAAGGCACACTGGACGGCTTCAAGAGTTTCTTATGCTAGAGAAAGCGCGCCTGCAACCCGAAGATGAAAGATGGTAAACTTTGCGCACGTCAAATTTTCTCTCGCGAGCATGTTTTTTTTTTTTTTTTTTTTCGTAGAATGTGCCACACGGTATAATATAGGGAAGGGGGGACAGCATGTTTGCGAGCCAGCACACAATCGCGACGTCGGTGGTTAGGTTGTGAATATATAAGACATCCAGGAAATAAACGCAGTATGTAGCTGATTTTGAGACATTCTTTTCCCCCGTCTTTCTTCGACCAAGTTTTCCTGCTTTTATCACAGTCTCGGGATTCTTACATCATGATCAACATCCACCAGCTCGCCTGCGCACTCACTGCTTTTGCATACACAGTCTCTACTAGCTGCAGCGATCTCTATACAGGAGTATGTGAAAACGAAGCCACCGAGGATAACTGATTTTTTCGCGCTCAATGCAGATGTTCCCGCTGTTGCTCCTCCCTCGGATGCTGCTATCGTAGACCTTGCGTGCAGCCAGAGTAAACGCGTAACGACGTCTGAGAGGCACCTCGGAAAACACCGACGACTGCGAAGACGCGAAACATCCTGCTTTGCAACATATTGGTGTGGAACGTGGCGGTGACAATGTTCTTGCGATGCCTGGAGTAGTTCAAGGAGAACTGATGCCCGGAAGAAATTATCGGCAAACACCGCTTAATTACCTTTTTATTCGGTAAACTGCAGCTTTTTGTTCGTAACTAAGGTTTGCTTGATTATATGCAGTCGAGCCCAGCTATATCACACCCAGGTATTTCAAATTGTTGTTTACATCGAACACTCCAAATAGGAGCGTTGTTTTTCTGTATCGAACTCGACGGTGGGGACACTTGATATTGCGAATTAAAACGGCCGCCGGTCGCTTTTCCCGCGGACGGATTGCGCCGCCGGCGACCACATAGCACAGGTTGCGGGGCTGGCAGGCAGACTACCAAGTGGAGGATGGCAAAAGCAAGTGGAAGGGCACGCGCACTCGTAGGGAGGGCAGGGAATGCCCGCTGTTAGAACGGTAGCGTCCGCTCTTTCCCCGAACACCGCTGTCGCTGCGCGACTCCTTAGCCCTAAAATAAAATAAGCAAATAAAAAAAAAGTCTGTCGAGTGCTTGAATAACAGTTCAGCAATCGCACTTTGAACGTCTTATCTTTGTTTACCTTTTTCTTTCGCCGTTTTCGCTTTGCCGTTTCTTTTCCCGTTCTTTTTTTGCTGCCTGAATTTAGTGAAGTTTCTTTTTTGGTGCTTACTTAACTTTATTCTATGGGTGGAGTTTTTTTTTTAGTGGCTCGCTTTTTCTGTTCTTTCATTTTTTTTTATTTTTATTTTCGCGTTTTGTTGTCGACGCTGTGTGGAAGTCACAGACACCGTCGCGTAAATGCGGCGGTGTTTATGATCTTTATTAACTAAGCTCGACTGTATTTAGCGGCTCTTAGAAACTCTATTTGGTAAGGTCCGGTTTGTCGCGGCCTTCGGTATTAGCAGAGATGCGCGGAAATTTCAACTGGAGCTTAACACATTTTTGTATATCAAATTATCGATATATCGAACTATTTTACGACCCCTTTTGAATTCCATATATCTGGGTTTGACTGTATTGTTCCGCAGTGTTCCCGTCCACCTTCGTGGCTGCTGGGGCTGCTTATTTGGCTTTATTGCTTTTATAGAGTTGCCGCTTATACCAAATTTTTGTGCCATCGCGTCAACTTTGTTGTAACGAGGAATTACTGTAGTTTCAAGAATCCCTACAAGTAGGATTGTTGAGCACAACAAAATTCTTTGTGAACAACTTCCAGGATTGAGGGACTGCAGAGAACATGCTGATTAGCTTAATAATTTGCTAAAACTTACCAATTCGGTTTTTAATTATAATGAAAATATACATTGTTCTAATTAGGAACTGGGAGAGCGTTACCAAAAACAGCTCATCGGTCAATTTTAGAAAGCCTCGAAGCATGTGGGAAGGGCATGGGTGTTCTAAAGGTCCCATGTGCAGCAGGTGGAAAGCTGGCAATGCAAAAACGCATACAATTTTCTAATCGTGAGTGCTTTTGCATCGCCAGCCTTCCACCTGCTGCACACCCAGGGACTTCGGTGCACTCCCTGCTCTTCCCACCTACCGCAAGCGTTCAAAAAATCTGATTTAGGGTTTTTTCAGGACGCTCAGCAAATTTATATTTGCCGAGCGTCGTGCTCCGAAAAGAACTAACAGTACCCCCAATACTGAAGCTGTACGACCCTTCGGCCCCAACTGAACTCCACACGGACGCAAGCGTGCATGGACTTGTGGGAATGATTCTTCAGCAAGAAGGGTCAGGTTGCTGACACCTGGCGTTTTGTGTCAGTAAGTGCAGCATGATGCCGAGAAAAACTACCATCTAAGAAAACTAGAGCTGATGGCAATAGTCTGGAGTATGGAAAGACTTTGTTCATTCCTTTTAGGCATTTCGTTCATGCTAGTAACAGACCGTCGAGCAATTGTGTACATAAATGTACCCAAGACCCTTAAACCACAGATAGCAAGGTGCTTTGACTTACTACAGGAGTATGACTTTGAGCTGAAGCGTCGAGCAGCTGAGAAAATGGCTCATGTGGACTACCCGAGTTGTGAACCCGTAGGGCCGTCTGAGGACACCCTTGACCAGGTCGTCGAAACTAGGGGTTGAAGTATGCCTCACCTTGGGTTAAGAAGACTAAGTTGTGCTCATATTCAGTAATCTGGTGCAGACTTGGCTAACCTTGCAGATTCTCGAAATTGTTCAGCTGTCCACATTAACAAGAGACGCACGTGTATCTACATTTAGAGATATTAAGTTCCATAAGCCAGTCGTTGCACCATAGGGTTACATTGTTAATATCGGTCTGAAGAGTAGAGATGTCGAAGTCGTTAAGGATATCTTTGTAAATAATGCAGTCGTCAGCAAAAAGGCTAATAGAAGAGGAGACACGGGTCGGGAGATCATTAATATAAATAAGAAATAGTAGTGGAATAGTACAGAGCCTTGTGGGACACCGGAGTTGACAGGCAAGTATGGAGAATTAGTTCCGTTGGCGACGACAAACTGAAGACGGTTAGTCAGAAAGGCGTCTATCCAAGCGAGAATGTATGGGCAGATGTTAAGGCTACCACGTTTATATGGAGGAGAAGAGCGTGGGGAACTTTGTCAAAAGCGTTGGAAAGATCAAGGAATATGCAGTCATTTCTGGAACCCTGGTCAAGTGTGACATGGAGATTATGGATAAAGGTAAGAAGTTGGGTTTCGCAGGAGTAAAACTTCCGAAAAGCATGTTGTGATGTGTTAAGAAATGAGTTAGTATCCAGAAAGTTTGCAAGTTAAGAGTAAATTACATGTTCAAGGATTTTGCATGGTATACTCATTATGGAAATGGGACCGTAGTTAGATGGACTTTGTTTATCGCCACCTTTGTGTACAGGAACCACCCTCCAATCCAATGGCAAGACACCATGTTGAGGTGACTGAGAAAAAAATCTTGGACAGGATAATGCTAGAATACATTATAGTGTTTTTCAAAACATTTTGTGTTAATGTTATCAGTACCTACTGCACAAGACATTTTTAGGTTATCAATAATCTTAGTAATTCCTTCACTATCTACAACAACAGGATGCATAGGCAAAAAAATCACAGGCTGTAAATACTGGGAAACAAGAACTGGAATAGAGAAAGGTTTAGTAAACACTTCATTTAAAACGAAAGAACACTGATTATTGGATAATCCATCTTCATCTGCATCTGCATCCCTAAGCGTTCTATTGGAA